AAAAGCAACATCCGTTAAGTTGCGAATTGACAAGTAGATAAATGCCTCAGTTCCGGATCTCGAGGCATTTTGCGCCTCCAGTATTCACACTGTCGACGACAGAGACCTCAAACGATGACCGTAGTCGGTTGAATGACGTGCATGTATGAGAGATATTCATTAAAATGAAATCGCAGATGGTTTGGAATTAATTTATTTTAGTGTTTTAGTAAATTTCGCTCGAATAATTTCGAATCGGGGTTTAATCGCATCACTGGGGTATTAAATTTTATAAATATTCGAATTATTCTTCGATAAAAATTGAACATACTAGACACACTTCATTTTATATTGAATACTAAATAAACGTGTCCATCACAGTAAAACAAAATAGTAAATCATCTTTTCATTTGTTTCCTTTTTTAATTCTTCCGGAATCTTTTAGCAACTATTCTTGCAGGTAACTGGTTCAAAGTTTATCTTTTTTGTCTTTTTAATGGCTACCGGAAACGCTTTGCCAGTCTTATAATAACTACATCTGCTAAATTTCGAATAGCCAAGAAGATAAATGCCCCTAGTTCCGGATCTGGACGCATTTTGTACCTCCAGTTTACAGTCTGTCGACGACAGAGATCTCAAACAATCCTCATCTGAGCTCAGATTGAAATTTAACAATTGTTCATTGTGCGAGGTATGAAATTATAAATAATGCTATGCGTGTATCTGTATAACACATGACCGTAGTCAGTTGAGTGACGTGCATGGATAACAGATATTCGTTAAAATTAAACTGCAGATGGTTGGAATTAATTTACTTAATGTTCCAGTAAATTACACTCAAATAATTTTCAATCAGTATTTAAGAGACGCACTAAATTAAATTTCAAAAATATTTAAACATTCACGAATAAAAATAAAACATACCAGACACTTATATTACTGAATATCAAATAAGCTTTAACTAATATTCCTTTTTAATTTTCCCTTAATCTTTTAGCAACTTTTCTAGTTGGTAACTGACACGAAACTTATCTCTTTTGTCTTTTGAATGGCTACCGGAATCGCGTTGTCGGTCTTATAAAAGCAACATCCGTTAAGTTGCGAATTGACAAGTAGATAAATGCCTCAGTTCCGGATCTCGACGCATTTTGCGCCTCCAGTATTCACACTGTCGACGACAGAAGCCTCAAACGATGACTGTAGTTGGTTGAATGACGTGCATGTATGAGAGATATTCGTTAAAATGAAATCGCAGATGGTTTGGAATTAATTTATTTTAGTGTTTTAGTAAATTTCGCTCGAATAATTTCGAATCGGGGTTTAATCGCATCACTGGTATTAAATTTTATAAATATTCGAATTATTCCTCGATAAAAATTGAACATACTAGACACACTTCATTTTATATTGAATACTAAATAAACGTGTCCATCACAGTAAAACAAAATAGTAAATCATCTTTTCATTTGTTTCCTTTTTTAATTCTTCCTGAATCTTTTAGCAACTATTCTTGCAGGTAACTGATTCAAAAGTTATCTATTTTGTCTTTTTAATGGCTACCGGAAACAATTTGCCAGTCTTATAATAACTACATCCGCTAAATTCCGAATAGCCAAGAATTTTGCGTCTCCAGTTTTCAGTCTGTCGACGACAGAGACCTCAAACAATCCTCATCTGAGCCCAGATTGAAATTTAACAATTATTGTTTATTATGCGAGGTGTGAAATTATAAATGCTATGCATGTATCTGTATAATAGGTGACTGGAGTCAGTTGAGTGACGTGCATGGATGAGATATATTCGTTAAAATTAAACCGCAGATAATTTGAAATTAATTTATTTTGGTGCTTCAGCAAATCACCCTAAAATTATTTTGAATAACTAAATTAAATCTCATAAATCTTTAAATATTCTAGGATAAAAATAAACACAATAAACGTATTTTTTATTGAATTTCCCTTTTTTAATATTCGTTAAATATTTTAGCAACTTTTCTAGTAACTGATGCAAATGTGTCTCTTTTATCTTTTAGTAGCTACCGGAAACGTATTAGCCAATTCCAAATTGAAAAGGAGACAATTATTGACTCAGTCAAACTCTACTGATGATGGGAACAAAATTCTCGAAAGCTTGACAAATTTGAGAAAGTAGTTTTATTAGCCCATGTATTGACTGCATCCTCACTTAAATTTTGAGTTTTTTCTTAACTTAGTCAGTCACGACTAACCTGCTATTTTTATATATAATATATATGTTATATATTATTATACATTACATAAATACATTTCAAATTAAAGAAATATATAAGCGACCGGGATAATATACCGGTATTATTAGTACACGTTATTGAGTAATATCTCAAATTTTATCGGGATTACTGCAAGTACCATGCACGTCATACTTTTTTCCGGGATTTATTTGGAAACCGGTACCGAGAGGCTAGGCACAGCATAAAAACTACGTTACAAGTATTTCGCTTATAGGAACATCATCAGACCTAAGAGGAAAGAACCTAAATAAGTAGCAAATAATAAAAAAGGTCGTCGTAACTTCCAAAACACTTCCATAACAGTAAAAAAATTAAACAGTTTTTAATTAATTTCTCCGTTTCAGTTCATTCTGAATCTTTTAGTACCTTCTCTAGCTGGTAACTGGTGATATGTATTATAATCCTTTTTGGTGAATCAAATCACACGGTTCAGTTTCTTATATTGAATCGACTGATTAAATTCGTTCATTTGAATTCTTATCACTTGTATTTTATGCTCATAATGTTTGTTCATGGTTACGGTTCAAGGTTCCGGTTCAAGTCTAATTATTGATACGCGGACTATAATTTTGCGTAGTTAATATCAATTAAACAATTTCATCACAGTAAATCAAAAGAAACCATCAATCAGCGTTTAATCTTATGCTAGAAAAATGCAACAAACTGTAAATTTACAAAAAGCTTTGTTAAAAATTAAAAAAATGAAAGAAAATCGTTTAATTTTTATAATTTGGTAACTCCCTTTGGGCAACTTTTATATTTCCATTTCTATTCATTTATCAATAACTATCAAAGACAAAATCTATTACACTTATCCCACTTCGCAAACACATCGTTGATGCAATATTTCTTTATCGACATATGCACAGAAGTGTATGCTCAAGCTGCCAACTTTAGTAATAAATGACTTTGATATTTTACCGGATACACGTCATTCTACTTGAAGGTCGAAGGTATACTGATGGGCGTTATTTGAGCTGATTTTAAAATTGCAACTTTAAAAGTTTCTTGCTTAACTTAAGAGATAGTTTAGCTCAAGATGTCTAAAATTAAAATAAAATTATATTGGTTATAATAACGTAAATAGTCTCACCGATAAAGGCAGCAACATATGGAACTTATTTATATTTACTGACTTTCAAGACTTGAAAGTGAAATTTTACTTCGACAGTAGTTTCTGCTATGATTTATATTCAATATAATATCAGAAAATTTTCGCCTGTTGCTTTTAAATTTGACATTTAAAGTAATAAATGGCTAAAAAGTCAGTTTACAGCCAACCAGATGAAAACATTTTTTTCATCATTTTTAACCAATAACTGCCGATTCTACCACAAGAATCTGCTGCTATTGATTAAAAATTACGAAATTTTAGTTTTCATCTTGGTGGCTAAAAAATACAGGGTGGCGCCTGTCATACGACGCGAATGCTCCAAGGAGAACGACAGTTTGTATAGAAATTAAATTTCGTGAGCATATGTAGGCTAATTTAGAGCATTTTTTTTTAAAATATAGAGAGTTCTACAGGGTGTCCCTAAAAACAGTTAAATTAAAAGTTGTTTTTTTTTTGTAATGTATTATATATTAATTGATTTGACCCTATATATTAATTGATTTTCTGATTCAAGGAGAGGGAAAGAATAAAGGAGAGTTTTATTAAAAGAGTATATGACTAAAATGTAAGGTTTTTAGGACGTTTAATATTTTCCAAAAATGAAAAACAATTTTTAGATTTCAATAAAAGCTACCTAAATTAGAATTTACCCAGCGCCGGCGCCTAATATGTAGTTAAAATAACTATTGCATTTGAACTCAAATTAAAATTTTACCCCAAAAAGTTATACGGGGTAAGACAAAATTAATATTGAACATTGGTCCCTTTAAAGGTAAGTTACTCTTTATTAAATGGAACATCCAGTATATTAGTGTCTGCAGTGTGCATTCACCAATTAATGGAATACTTAAATGGTCCTGATTTACCTAGTCTAAACTTTTTTTATGGGGAAATGTTAAAGACATTGTTTACAAATTGAGTATTTTACTCTACATCCTTTAATTTTTGTTAAATTAACAAAAGGTATATCATAGCCACCTAGATTGTATCAAATAATAAAGATCTGTTGACGCAAAATCATAAAAATGAAAATATCTAGAGAAATCTTTGTCTAGAAGTAAAGGTAATCTTAATAATATTTTGAAGATATATAAATTTTCCATTGAACATCGGAATAATATACTCAGTGTCCGATTTAAAATAAAGGAGTAACTTGTTTTTAAAAGTGACCAATGTTCAATATTAAATTTGTCTCACCCTGTATAACTTTTTGGATTAAACGTTAATTTGGTTAAGTATCAGGCTATATAGGGTAAATTACAATTTAGGTGGCTAAATTTAAGCTATTTTCCCAGCAAAAACTAGCGCGAAAGTCAAATTTGTCCTACATCTATAAATAAAATAAAATTTCATATGATGCAGATTTGATCTATGACAATGTATAATATGTATTTTAATACAAAGAAATAATGCTGATATTTATTATTTAAAAGTTAACATAAATAATTCTCATATACGAGAAGGGTCTGAAAAGTTTCCGACCTCATCGTGAAGATTCTAGCAGCACTCCTAGATAAAAGCTAGTGAATTTTCATTGTTCATCTGTTGACAGTTATTCACCAAAGTTGCAGCCATTTTGGATGCGCAGTTGTTATGTAACAGTCGTTTGAGTGAGTTGATGTCAGTGTTTTTGTGAAAATGGACAAAATCGAGTATCGGGCTGTCATTAAATATCTGGTTTTGAAAGGCAATACGCCTGCACAAATTAAACATGAGTTGGATTATGTGTATGGGGACTCTGCACCATCATTTACTACAGTAAAATTTTGGGCAGCTGAATTTAAACGTGGCCGTAAGAGCTTGGGAGACGATGAATGTTCGGGACGTCCAAAAACTGCAACTACCGACGATAACATCGCCAAAGTTCACCAAATGGTGCTAGACGACCGCTGAATTAAAGTGAGAGAGATAGCAGAGTTTATGAACATATCAAAAGAACGTGTTTGTCACATACTAAATCAAGATTTAGGCATGAGAAAGCTGTCCGCGCGTTGGATGCCGCGTTTGCTCACGTTAGACCAAAAGCGTGTTCGTATGAACATTTCCAACGGAAAGTTAGTGCAGTTTAGGCGCAATAAATCCGAGTTTTGGCGTCGACTAATTACTGTAGATGAAACTTGGATACACCACTATACACCAGAAACAAAAATACAGTCCAAACAGTGGACGGCAAAGGGAGAACCGGCTCCAAAAAAAGAAAAAAACTGTTATTTCGGCTGGGAAAATAATGACGATTGTTTTTTGGGATAGTCATGGAGTTATTTTAATTGATTATCTTCAAAAAGGAAAAACCATCACAGGAGCATACTACGCATCATTGCTTGCACGGTTTGAACTGCTTGGCCATCCGCCTTACTCACCAGATCTAGCCCCTAGCGACTTCTTTTTGTTCCTTCATTTAAAAATTGCGCTCGGAGGACAGATTTTCGTCAAATGCAGGCAATCACCTTCGTGAACCACTATTTTATAGAGAAAAACGCCGAGTACTATTTGGACGGGTTACAGAGCATCGCTGGGAAAAGTGTGTAGAGTTACAAGGGGACCATGTTGAAAAATAAAATAAAATATTCAGAAAAAATTTCTTATATTTATGTTAGGTCGGAAACTTTTCAGACCACCCTCGTACTCACATATTTTAGACGATATACGTACTTGCTTACATTTATACATTTTCCTTAAGGGGTGAAGGCATACTGATGCGCGTAACGTTGGCTCTTATTATCGCAACTCAAGAACTGCCTTGCCTAACTTAGTTGCAGATAGTTGGAGCCTCGAGATGCCGCCATCATCGTATAAAATTAGAGCCTCAGCAAAATGGTTCCGGTAACAATAAAGCATATTTTAGTGCGTCTAATGCAGGCAAATACGCTTTTCCCCCACACCGAGGCCTTTCACTTTGAAGCTTTCGGCCGATTTTATTATCTGCCATTATTTTGGAGTTACTTCGTCTGTTAAAGCATAAAATATAGAGATGAGAAGGTAAAATTGTTCCAATTAAGTACTTTTTACGTGATAGACGTTTAGAGATGTACGACGTTATAAACTCCAAAGTAATTTTAATTAATCGTGGTAAATTATATTTTCGAGCGACGAGCAGAGCAAAATGCGAAATGGATGATAAAGTTTTAACGGCCTTTTGATGTTGCGACTAATTGTGATACTTATTTTGCTAAAATGTTACAACATACGTTGTACTTGCGAGTTACGCAACTTTGTTAAATAACAATCATCTTTCAGTCAAAGAGAACAAGTTATAGATGAATCTGTAACTATTCTAAATAAAGCAAAAATAAAATTATTGCTTTTTTACTAAATAAAATGATTATGAACCATACTCTATACAGGGTTATTCACCACATACGATACGGAGTATTGTAGCAAAACTATTAGATTTTTAAGGACTATTAGAGCTACAATTTTAATAATATTTTTTACAAGATAGAGAGTGTCTCAAATAAATAAAAATATCAAAATTGTATTTTTTTAAATGAAACACTCTGTATATTATTATATTTTTTGTTTCTGCGATTAAATTAAAGATAAATTTGATTAAGGTTTCCCGCATTTTAATCCTACCGTTTTGGAAATTTTACGTTTTGGTCAAAATACAGTAAAAATTTTAATACTTCATTTCTCTAGGCGTACTTAAGTTTTTAAAACCAAATATTGTACTGAAGTTTTTCTATTGACCAAATGTTGTGTTGGAATAATAAAAATTATAGTATCTGTTACAGAGTGTCTAATTCTTTATTCTTTTTATTAAAAATTTATTTTAAATAATTACTAGCTTTAAATTTGTTTAACCTGGACCTGGACCTGGACCTGGACCTAAGGTAATATCGCAGCTGAGCTACTAAAATGCGGGGGCTAGGGTCTGATCGAACGTTTGGTAGCCCTTATGAATAAGTGCCTAGCAATCAATAGAATACCCCAAGAATGGAAAACGTCTCATTTAGTATCCATATTCAAAAAGGGAAATCGGAGAGACTCTGGATGCTACAGAGGACTAAGTGTGAATTGTACGATGGGCAGGTTGTTTAGTAAAATTCTACAATCCAAACTTAGAGCAAATATTGGTTAGAGCAATATTGGTTAGAGCAAATATTGGTTGTTGACAACCTTTTCATACTTCAGCAGCTTCTGGAAAAACAAATATCCGTAAAACAGGAAGTTCACTTGGCTTTTGTAGATCTTGAAAAAGCCTACGATACAATACCCCGTCAAAAATTGTGGAAGGCCCTCGAACGGCTAGACGTGGATAAGGATCTCTTAAAAATAATTAAAGAACTGTACAATAATAATGTATCGCTCATAAAAGTAGGAAATCGACTGTCTGAACCTATACTAACCACAAAGGGTCTCAGACAGGGCTGCAGTCTTCCCTTGCTTTTCAACGCCTATGTAGAAGTCGCGCTAGAAGAATGGAAAAGACAATGTGAACCTATGGGTATTCCTATAGGCGCACAAAAATTGTTCACTTTAAATTTTGCTGACGACCAGGTGGTGCTTGCGCAGGATGCGTTTGACCTTGAATATATGATGAGAAGACTCTATGTACAATATGAGAAGTGGGGTCTACAAGTAAGTCTTAAAAAACAGAATATCTAGTAGTCTATAGTGAAGCGGCCTTTGAAGTTCTGATTACCGATGATACTCAGGTCACACAGGTCAACAACTTCAAATATTTAGGGTCAATCGTGACTAAACAGGGCATTGGAGAGGACGAAATTAAACTCCGCATTCAAGCTGGCAAGAGAGTAGTGGGATGCTTGAATTCATTGTGGTGGAATCAGCATCTCTCTCTTAGAGCCAAAAAACGGCTTGGACAAATCTTGGTGGAATCTGTGGTGTGCAATGGTTGCGAAGTATGGGCTCTAACAGCCGAAATGAAACGGAGACTAACAGCAGTCGAAATGGACTATCTCAGAAGGAGCGCAGGTGTATCGAAAATGGGCCGAATTATCAACATAGAGATTAGACACCGAATGAATGCTCCAGAGACAATTATAGACAGGGTCGAAATCAGAGGTCTCAAGTGGTTTGGCCATCTATTAAGAATGCCGGAAGATCGATGGCCTAAACGTCTGTTTCATTGGAGTCCTCCACAAAGAAGAAAGCGAGGTAGAAGGTCGTGGAACAACACAATTAGGCAAGCGATGGCATCCAGAGAGCTGGAAGAACTGGATGCATTTGATAGAGAGGTTTGGCAAAGGCGAACGGGAAAGCAGCAGTAGCTGCATGTTTGATTAATGGACAACTAATGTCTAATCAAAAATCTCTGTATATATATATATATATAGCATATATATATATATATATATATAGGTATATATATATATATATATATATATATATATATATATATATATATATATATATTGTTATATATATATATATATATATATATTTGTTTAAAAACTTATTATACAGGTTAGTTATATATATATATATATATATATATATATATATATATATATATATATATATATATATATATTTGTTTAAAAAAAACTTGTTTAATTTAAATGAAACACCCTGTATTTTTATGGGAATCAGATGCACAATTTAATTGTCTATCAAATTGTATTATACCATTTTTTATACCAATTAAAAAAAACTCTTTAAATATTGGTTAAAGAGGACCAATTAATATGATCCCATTATTCAAACTACATTAATTGATGTTTGCCTTGATTAATAATAGTTGCTCCAAATACTAAAAAACTGAATTTTGTATGTGTATTACACAGTGTGTTAAAAAGTAAAATGTAACATGTTATAAATTTTATTTATTTTTTTCACGAATGCTTATTTATAACAACAGAGACGTTATATTAATTTTTGATTAAAATCCATATTTATTTAGAATAATTTATCAACTAAAACAATTAAGTATGTAATTAACTAATTTCTGGATGAAATAGTGGTGGTAATAGTATGGTAATAATAATTAGTATACACTATTACAAAGATTTAAATAGTTTTCTTTTTGTAAACAAATGAGCTTGCGATATAATCGTTTTTAGCACCTGTACATTTTATACATTTGATGTTTTAAAAAAATCTAAAATGTCAATATTCCATGGGCCAAAAATGATAAATGAGGTCTAAGTTGTAAGAAAATGCATTTTCTATAAAAACTTGAGGAGATAGGTATAATACAATTTGATAGACAATTAAATTATGCATCTGATTCTTCTTAAAATATAAAAATGAATAATATTTTTTATTTATTTGGTACACTGTTTGCTTCTAAAAATATTTTTATATTTTAGTTCTAATAGCCTTTCAACGAACCCAAAACTTGCAATTTGTAAAAATCTAATCGTTTGGCTTCAATACTCCGTATCGTATGTGGTGAATAACTTTGTATTATTCTGATAAAACATTAAAAGAGGAATAAATACGAACATTGTTATCGTACTTTAAGTGCTTGGAGATTCATTAATTTCAACTGATCACTTACTAAAGCATACGCTGTGTTGCATGCTCAATAAGCAAATTATACGTCTGAGTGTGTGCACGCAAACTGTATACAGCGGTCAAGCATTGCGGTGCCAACGTTATTAGTTCACGACTGATCTAAATTGCTCCAGGTAAAGGAAGTTATATTCAATTAGTCAATATGGCTATTGAAGTTGTTGAATAAAATAATTAAAAAATTATACATCTAAAACTTTAAGTTTACAAATAAAATTATATTATAATTATTAATACAATGTAAGTTAATATATACCGGGTAGGTCATTGGCCGCTGGAAACATAATAAATTCCATGCAAATTTAATTTAAATGTCTGCGTATTAGTCATGGCCCAAACAGTGATTTTTTAATAACAGGTACAACCTGTTCCAGTAGTAAAAGATACCTGTTCCAAGAAACCTGTTCCAGTTCCAAACTGTTCCAAAACGTAAATTAATACCGTACTGGTATCGTACTGTTTCGGTTCTTCCTGTTTCAGTAGCAGTAGAATGTTCTCCGAAGTGTTGCCGCTTGGACGTTGCCGTTACGAAACCCTCTATATTACACGCGGTAAGTGGATTTTTTCTTGTTAAACTACTGATTTTTTTCTTTTGAATAAAAAAAAAATAAATTTAATCTACTACCTATGTGCTATATTACCAACAAATGCTTTTAACTTAAAATTGAAGCAAAATAACAACACTAAAATTCACCACAATACACCAAAAACACTTTTACTTTTTACATTGGACGCGTGTTTCGCTAACCATGTTAGCATCATTAGTATATGATTAAAACCAAAGCACAATCTCCAAGTTGAGCGTTTATATATCGCTCAGTGGGCACCGAGTGGCAAAATAATGTTGTAAAGATAGTAAGAACAGAGACAACGGTCCACCTCTTCAAGTTCTTTTGTTCCTACTAATGAAGTGGGACCAGTTATGCTTAGTGTTTATTTTAGTTAGATCTTGCCACGCCCACTCGGTATTGTATTTTTCAAAAACTATTATGTTTGGCAAAATCACCAGCACTTTTTTTTAATATAAAAATTTCTTCATTTTATTTGCCTTATAAAATAAAAAAAAAAAAAAAAAAATTATATAATAAAAATTTAGTTGAATTTAACAATACATTAAATAAAAATATATTTATTTTCTTGTCCTTCTTCTTTATCCTGATAACAGATAACAGCTGAACGGTTCCGTCCGCTAGACTAGCGAAAGCGATATACGACCTCGATTCTCAACCCTCAAACAAGTTCTTTTTACTCAACTGTTCCAAAAAGTTGCAAATCCCTGACTGTTCCAAGTCTTAAACTGTTCCAAGTCCCAAACTGTTCAACATCAACCTGTCCTGCCCTAAACTTTTTCCAATGAATAAGAACAGTCTCACACTGCTCCTATTAATTTTTCTGTGCTAATTTGTGTTCTAGTGCCAGTGCTTTGCAACAGCTGAAACAGTTGGAATTGGAACTGGTACATGATTGTAGCACAGAACCTGTTCCAAAATAAACGTCTTTCGAAAATATCAGATCCTGTTCCAAAGCATTATCACTACTGTGTATATGTCACGTCACCCTTTGGAACACTGTTGCTAATTTAAAAACTGCCTCTATTTTTTAAATAAAACTGAACAGAACATGAAACAGGAATTGAAACAACAATTCATGGCAAATGTCAACATACTTAAGTTATCAACCTATGATTGTGTCACTGTCAAATACAACCCAAGTAAAATACAACCAAGTAAATGTGTTTGCTAATTTCAAAGTGTTTTTAAGTTATAATTTAAAGAAACAAACACAATTCATTTTATTTATAATTTGAAGAAAAAAGATCGGTTTAACAAAGAATGCTTTAAAAGGATGAATTAGATATATCAGTCAAAAGTCAAGTCCCTAGAACAATAAGCTTCTAGCTTAAAAAATAAACTAACTATGTAATTAAATAATTTTTGGGCGGAAATATTGGTGGTATATTTAAATAGTATACTCTTTACAAAGATTTAAATAGTTTTCTTTTTGTAAACAAATGGGTTTGCAATATTATTATTTTTACCACCTGTACATTTCGTACATATACGTTGCTTTAAAAATCTAAAAACGTCAATATTTCATGGGTATATTGATAAATTATGGGGTCTAAATTATAACAAATAGCATTTTCTACGAAAACTTGAAGAGGTAAAAATGGAATAACACAATTTGATAGACAATTAAATTATGCATCTGATTTCGTAAAATATACAGGGTGATCCATTTAAATTAAACAAGTTATTGCTGCTTAAAGTTAGAAAATTATTAAATATAAATTTTTGGACACTCTGTATAAGGTGGTATACTTTTATTATTGCAAACAATAACATTCGTCAATAACAATTTTCAGTAAATATTTAGTATTAAAATTAATACCTCTTGGAGGAATGAAGCTTTAAATTATTTTTACTGCAAAAGTAATTTAGCTGCTTATTCAATGTTTTCCATGAGATCTTCTTGTAAATAGAGCTGTGAGCGATCGTTTATACCGACGTCAGTGAAGAATTACAGTAAAATAAGAAAAAAAAAAAAAAAAAAAAAAAAAATTAATAATTTAATTTTGTGTTTTTTTTTTTTTTTTTTTTTTTTTTTTTTTTTTTTTTTTTTTTAATTTATTATTTCATTTATTATTATTATTAAGTTATAGTTTTACACAGTCTATAGTACTACACCACACTGGATTGAATTTAAAATACCATTTTTTTTTTTTTTTTTGAAAATGTCAAAAGTTGCACATATGACATATAAAAGTCAAAAGATACCTAACGGTACATGTAAAAAGTCATACCAAAATTTCGATAGTAATTTCCAACAGGAAGTAACCAAAAGGGGAGAGCGAGAGTCAATACGTCAATCAATCCGAATTTATGTACATAGATACTGAACACACCAAAAATCTCTCTACTTTTAACTGATAACAATAAATAGGTTTCCCACCAACTCGGTATTTTAATTTTAAACACTGAAACAGAATTGTTATTAATAAAGCGAGAGCGGAGGTTCGGCATCTTACTATACCAGTAGACCGAATAGATTTCAAAAGTTTACCGAACTAATTGATCGTTGTGCGATGGAGAAAAACCGCGGAAAAATTTTTATAATAAGTCTAATGAGAGAGTATATTTTGGTCTGTGAAGCCCAGTTGATTTGCGACTGTCGGTGTCAATTTGTTGGCTGCGACTTTGATGTGTGGCAAATTCCAGCTCGGAGTATTTTATTTGGGATATATATATTTTTGTTCAAGTTGTTTTTACGATACAAAAGAGTCGTTTTGTCAGCTCGATAGCTTGGTTGATTGTTTGAATTGACGAATATAGATACACATTTCAAATATATCATACAATGCCCGCGTAAATGATGGGACCTCTTTTTTATTTGTTGAAAACTTGTAGATATCGCTATAAAATTGCATGTACATTTTATAGGACACAATCATTGCCTGTAAACTTATATGGTGAAATTTTGACAAAATAATTTGGATTGACTACGGACACGGTATGTCGCTACCCAAGTAGCATATTTAGACACAAAATCGAAATAAAATCTCTGATGAGAAACAGTGCAAAACAGTTTATACTATATATAAACAGTACCATAGATCGCTTCTTGTTTCGAAACATTTTACCAAAATATGGTTGTGCTACATAAGCTATAACAATAAAGATCTTAGTGTCACAAATTTTTCGAAACATTTAAGAAACAAATGAGGCTCACATTTACAGATTTCGTACCCGTTTTG